TTTTTTTGATTTATTTCTGTAGACCTCCTCTGTGGTCAATTTTATCTCAATTTTAAGAAAGAAAAAGAATGAAGTGCGAATATATGCTGCTATATGGATGAACCTTGAAAACATTAAGTAAAAGATGCCAGTTATAAAAGACCCAATTATGTGATCCCATTTCTATGAAATGTCCAGAATAGGCACACATAGAGACAGAAAGCAGATCAGTGGTAGCCAGGGGCTCAGGGGGTTGGAAGGTGATATCTAAAGGGTATAGTTTCTTTTGGGTTGATGAAAATGTTCTAAAATTGACTGTGGTGATGTGGTGGTGGTACAACTCTGTAAGTATACAAAAACCATTAAATTGTATACTTTAAATGGGTTAATTTTATGGCAAATTATATTTCAATGATGCTTGTTAGGAAACGAATCAATCAATTAGTGTGGAATGGAATCTTACGTCAAGTAAAAAGCAGTGATAGAATTTTTTTTTTTTAATAGAGACAGGGTCTTGCTGCATTGCCCAGGCTGAAGTGCAGTGGATGGTCACAGGTGCAATTATAGTGCACTGCAGCCTCCAAATCCTGAGCTCAAGCAATGTTCCCACCTCAGCCTCTGGAGTAGCTGGGACTACAGGCACAGGCCACAATGCCCTGCTAGAAAGAATTTTTAACATTGTAAATCAATGTGTTAGCACCTTTCTCCAAAAGAATCTTGTAGATATATCAGGAGAAAGGGAAATAGACAGTGGTTGGCAGATTAGCAGATTATCCTTAGGCTCTAGGCAAGGGGGCCTGTGCAAAAAGGGGGTGGGCACTTGGCTGAGGAGAGGAAGCATTGGGGTCTAAAATCCTTCCTGTGGGTGCTAGGGATGGAGAAAGGGTCTTTTTTTCTTTCTTTTTTTTTTTTCCTCACAAAGGCGCTGTTTGCTCACCAAACGATGCTTAAGAGTTGTGTCCACCAGATTAGGGGAATGGCTTTTTTCTAATTCACCTTATAGGCTACCTGGGACTTAACTTCTCCCCCTTGCATTATTAAACTTCTGTCCACAGGGGTTAACAATGACCTATTCTCTAATTGCCTGAAACAGTACACACTTTTCATCATCTTTCTATTTGACCTCTGTAACACTAGGGACCATTGGCCATTAATAATTTGAACGATTCCTTTGGCTACCTACCATAGCAGTGAATGCTTTGACTTCACAACCACTGCTACGCAGCTTCTATTCTTCCGGCCAACTAAAAGTAGGTGCTATCCCATGGTTTTATTTGTTTGTTTGTTTCTTTGTTTTATTTTTGTTTTTTTTCTTTTTCTAAGTCTTCGAAGAACAGAAGGACCCATGGGTTTGTTTTTTTTTTTTGTTGTCGCTTTTTGTTTTTTTCAGACAGAGTCTTGCCCTGTTGCCCAGTCTAGAGTGCCATAGCGTCAGCCTAGCTCACAGCAACCTCAAACTGTTGGGCTCAAGGGATCCTCCTGTCTCAGCCTCCCGAGTAGCTGGGACTACAGGCATGTGCCATCACACCCCACTAATTTTTTCTATTTTTAGTTGCCCAGCTAATTTCTTTTTTTTTTTTTTTTAGTAGAAATGGGGTCTTGCTCTTGCTTAGGCTGGTCTTGAACTCCTGACCTCAAACGATCCTCCTGCCTCAGCTTCCCAGGGTGCTAGGATTACAAGCATGAGCCACCACACTTATCCCATGGTTTTAACATCTGTCCCATCTTTCAGTAGTCCTAGCTTCTCCTGTCCTGCTCAAACTTCAAATCACAGTCCTGACACCTCTCCAGGGCCTTTTCCCAACTCTTTTGATGGATGTCTCCAGGAGGATCTCATGCTAGCACTTCAAATATGACACAGGAGAGGTGGGATGAACTGAGGACACAGGAGACATACGTGAGAAGCATTAGATCCATGCACTTTTGGCTTCAAGTCAGGAATAATCAATGGGACCAGGTGGAATGCTGTGTAAGATGGGCAGGTAGGTCTGATAAAAGGCAGCACACATTGAGAAACTAGGAAGGTTTTCACAGAAGTGAAGGGCAAAGGGTGTTCTAGAGTGAAAGGACACAGCAGAGGAAGGGACACAGTACTACGTGGGGCTCCAGACAGTGAAAGTCTGTGTGTTCCATGATGCCTGGGCTTGTCTTTTCTCTTATCAGCCAAAGCATATGAACTTAACAAAATGTGCATGGCAAAGGAAAATGGCAGATGGGATAATAGGAATGATTCAGGAAGAGGTGGGAGCAGTGAATTCAGACAACTCCAACTACTTCCTAAAGGTTCTCAGGTGCAGCCAGGCTTGCCTAAGACGATTTATCCCATCTGTGCCTGGTAGGAGAGGAGCATGACCCTCCCCCAACCACTATAGGATGGTGGGGGCTCCCCCACATCTAGGACACACATATTTACATTATTATTTTATTCCATTTTGAGAAATCCCCCTAGTCCCTCAGATGCATCCAAATCAGGAGTTAGGGATCAGGCACCACTGTGATTCTGAATTATAAAATAATGAAGTCCCAGAAGTCAGCAGCTTCTGGCTGCATGGTGGTAAGAGGTATGGCTGAGCCTCTCTTACAGATCATCCAGCACCTGCGCAGGCCAGGCTAAATGGTGCTTCAGCTCTCTCTGTAGCCAGGTGTCAGCAACCATACCCTAGGCTACCTTTGCTGGGCCAGAACTAGCTGCCTGAACCAGGAGCTCACAGCACCATCCACTCGCATCACCAAAGCTATGCCCAGGAGAAGTCCCACGCTGCTTACAATGAAGCCCAAAGCCTCAAAAATGAACCTGCAAAGAAAAGTGGAGAATCTCAGGAAACAGAAAGTAGTCCTAGTACCTTTTCCCTGCAGAAGCAAATCTTGGCCACCCTGGATGTTTAGGACGTTCGTACTCTGCTCTAAGCTTCTCGCTCCCCACCACATCTACTTCTCAAGCAAACGTACTCACTTGGGGGCAAACACCTTCCAGACCATGAGATGCCTGCGGAGGATGGAAGCTGCCAAGGCACAGGCCAGAATCTAAAAGAGAAGAGGAGGGGCCAGGTTACTTGAGAGGGAAGGAGGAAGCAGGGCAAAGGGAGAGTTGCTATAGGCCCCTATGAAAAATAGGAGGAGGAAAGTAGTGCGTGTCAGTGGAAAAAAAACCTAGCTAGGTGTTAGGAGACCCAATTCTTGTCCTGGCTCAACCATTGACTATGTGACCTTGGGCAAGTCACTGTCTATCTGTGTTGTTAACACTCAGGCTCTGCTTCCCAGGGTGGAAGAAGATGTCAGCACCACATCTGCCTCTAGGGAAAAGGACAAGGAAGATCTATGACCACAATTTGGGAAAAAATCCTGGCCATTACCTCAGCTTTTCCAGTCTGTCCACTGATGCAGTGATCCCCAAATGCAAATAGCAGGGTATGGATCTAGGCTGTA